GTTTAGGTGCTGTTCTGTTTGGTTTGCAAGTCTTACTTATCAGGCTACTTAGGTATTTTCTTTGTAGCTACTCTTCTTTAATTTTTAGTCTAGTAGTTTTTCCTAATACTTCCTGCTGGTTTATACATATTATTAGCTCTGTGAAGTGGTATACGAGTTGGTTCTGCTATATCAATCTCAGACCTATAAAGCTAATATAACTACAAATAGAGTTTGTTGTAGATCTTGTTAGCTCTAATTTGTTTTTGATTAAGATCTAGATCAGTCTTTGCAAGTTGTTACAAGTAGCTTTGCTAAGAAATGTTGTTTGCAGCCTGTATTCGATACTTAGTAGAAATATACTATTGTTCAAATATATTAACTGACTTGTAGATACTTTCTTTTATTTAATTGCTTTGTATATTCTGCTAACTTCATTTCTTATTATACTTAGGTTTAAACTTGGTTTCCCTTTACTTGCAATCTATACACTGAGATGTCTTTCTAGGTCAGTTTCTTTTTTTGTATGAACCTTGTTTTGGTTCTTGTCTACGATAATAGTTAATTAGTCTTTGCTTCTATACTTTTTTTTGTTTATGTTTAATACAATAAGCTCTGTTTTCTTGCTATTAATCTCAATATTATTTATAGTATAAAACTTATTAGAGATATTAATGATTTTTTGTAGCTCTTCTTTAGACTTAGCAATCTAAGTAGTATCATCTGCATAAGCCAGAACTGCTTGTTGATGAGATACCTCTTTGGTCAGGTTGTATATGATATCTGTTAGCTATTCTGTTATCATTTCGTAATGTAAATTTTTTGTTTCTTAGAATATACAAAGTAGTGGATCATAAAAAATATACTAGGCCAGAGGTGAGATTACTTCACCTTGATCAAGACTGTCTTTGGTTTCAAATTCTTTTGTGAGGCCAAAGTTTGTTATGACCTTAATTTTCTTTTTTTCATAGAAGCTCAAGATAAAACTAGTTATTTTTTTCAGTAATCTTATTCTTTCTAATAATTTTTTAAGTATTTCTAGGCTTACTGAATCGAATACCTTACATATATCTTGAAACAGAATTCATAGTTCATTGTTTTTTTGTCTTACATCTTCCAAAATATTGTTCATTATGTGAACTAGACTCACTATACTATTTCCTGATAAGTTTGTGTAATTTGGTTCCTTTAGCATATTATGTTCTACTATGATTCTATCTAGTCTTTGAATCACTACTTTTACTACAGTCTTGCAGAAGGTTTTGATCAGGACTATTGGATGCATGTTAGATAAATTAAAATTCTAGTCTTCTCCTTTAGGAATAGGGATAGTTGGCTTAGTTTTCATTTGGCTAGTATTTTTCCTTCTCGAATACATATATTTACAAGATATCTGAAGAGTTTTTATACTATAGAACCTGCTTTTTTGATTAGTAAATAACTTATACCTGTTAGACCTGGTACTGATTTGGTCTTTATCTTTCTGAGTGCTTCTGTCTATTCCTTTTCAAAGACCTTATTCTCTAGATTGTTATATATTTTCATATCTACTTTTTCTAAAGGTTTGTAAACTTTTTTCTATCACTTAGGCATGTTTGTACTTTGAGTATTTCTTTTCCTAAATTGCTTTTGAAAGTAATTTCTCACTTCTTTTAAGACTTCATTTTTTTGGTTCAGTAGGGTTATGTCAGAATCATCCTTTTTTATGACTCTGTCTATGATTACTTGTCTAGAGGATCTCTTGAGTAGGCTACTAATCATATGCTTAAGCTCCTCTTATATTGCCTCACAGCACTATTCTACTGCTTGGTTTATCTCTTTTTGTTTTTCTTTTTTCCTTGCTTGTTGCACTTTTGTGTACATAATCTTCCACTACATCTTGAAATCTTTGGGCCTTCTTTTGAACCAAACCCTTTCTGAGAGTTCTTCTATTTCAGTTTCGTATTTTTTGTTTAAATACTTTATCTATAAATTAATGTTAGTTCTATTTGTTTCAATGATTTGTTGCCCAATTTCTGCTGCATATTGCTGATATATTTTCCTAATTTTCTTTAAATCTTTCTTTATGCTATCACTCTTATTTGCTTTTTTTTTTGTTCTGATTCTCTTGAGTGTAACTTTTTTGTCTAGTAGTGTAGCCCTGGTGTACTTAATAATGCTAGCTGATATTATATTCTACAAATCATCTTTGCTTATTGTTTTCAATCAGTTTAGATTATCTTTCCTTTTTCTATTGCCTAGCTTCTTCTTGAATGTTTTGTCTAGCTTTGTTTTATAATCTTCCTAGTTCTTTTCTACAGCTTTTTCTAAACTAAATACTCACTTTTTACTCTTTAGCCTTTTATCACAAGCTGCAGTTTTAGATTTTCTCATAATTCCTATTGCTATGTTTGCCTTTACTATTGTATGGTTGCTGTTTGTGATTGAATCTGACTCAATTATCTAACAACTTATTAAGCTTTGTGCTAGATCTTTTGAAATCTAGATATAGTCAATTCTAGATTTAACTTAATCATTTGATCTAATGAACTTCTTTTCATATAGATATAATTTTCTGAATGTGTCTATCATATCTGAGTTGCTTAGCCAGTTTAAAAGAGGGAGTTTCTGAGTTCATTTTGAGTCTTCTCTGTTTTTATCTAGATCTTTGTATCTTATATTATTCAAATCACCTAGTACTATAATTTTTATAGCTTTCTTTCAGCAATCATAGATTCTTTTTATAACTTGCTGCTATACATCCTTTCTAGTCTTCTGATCATTATGCAGGATGTATACTACTATTACTAGTACTTTTTGCTTTTTGAAGATAAAAAAGGCTTCCATACAATATGCATTATTTCATTTTACCTAGCTCAGATGCTTTTCTCATTTCTTATTTATAATTAATCCTACTCCAGACTCTTTTTTCTTGTTTTTCTCTGCATCTGTTCAAATCCCTAAATAGTCTTCATATCTGCTTATACTAAACTTATTTTGCCTTTCTGTTGTGTTAGTTTCATTAATTTCAATCATGTCTATTTTCTCTTGTTTTGCTCATTCTATGAATATTTCTAATTTAACTAAGTTACCTTTGATTCCATTAATGTTATGTGTAGCTATGTTTAATATCTGATAGTCTTCTACTAAAATACTTCTACTCTCTCCTGCTTTGTTTCCTTTTTCTACTTATAATATATATTAATATTAAAAATATTATTCAAAAACAAACAAACCTTCTCCTCACAAATCTCTCTAACAACTTACTTACTTGGTTCTACAATAATACTTAGAATCAACAAAACTACTACTAACATCAATAGGAACTTGCTTGGAATATTACTAAAAAAACCAAACACACAAAAATTACTTATCTAATACTATCTAATAGACCAAACCCTAATACAACTTCTATTCCAATAACTAACTACTGATCTGAAATTGAAAAATAGTTTCTCTAAGGCTTCTCACTAACAACTTGCACTTTATAATGTCAGGACTAACACCTTAGGTTCTCCCTAACCTATTCTAGCTAAAAACTAATTTGAAATAATTAAATATAGTATAAATTAGGAAATAGAGGATGTAATGTTATATTGGGTGCCTTAAAAATATGTAACACAAATATAGCTAGAAATCTTTAAAATTTTGAACATATGTTCTAATCTTATAAATAAAGTTTCTACTATGGCATTATAAAAAAAAAAAAAAAAAAAATGAATAGAGAATAATTGGTATAGAAATAATAAAAAAATAAAACTAGTTAAAAACAAAGATCTTTTATTTAAACTTTATAATTTAATAGAAACATATAAAAAAATTATATTTACATATGTTAGATCTCATTCTAGTATATATAGAAATGAAAAAGCAGATAAATTAGCAAAATCTTTAATAAAGAAATAATTTTATTAGCATAAAATATAACATATATTTGATAATATTATAGTGAAATGATGATAGCTTTCAAACATTATAAATATTTTATCAGAGTTTGCTAAGCTTTCTAAAAGTAAGCCAACGGAGTGACATTTAGAGTCAGCTATTTCAACAATGATTTAAACAACAATTAAAATTTTAATTCAATGATTATAATAGCATTATAATATCATTATAATATCATTTAATTAACAAATTAAAATTTTAATTATTATTAAAATTAACGTTAAATAATTTTAAAATTATTTAACTTATATAAATTATAATATATTTTAAAATTTTGTTTAATATATATTTTATTTTATTTATATATAAATAAATTTTTAATTGCAATATAAATTTATATATTTGTAATTTACATTGTAATATTTTATAAAATAAATTCATTTTAAAAAGTTTATCTGATTGTACTATAATTATATTTATAGGTTTATCCAAACAAAAAATTATAAATAAAGTAAAAAAAAATTTATAACAAATTAAAAAAAATGTCTAATTATAATGATGAATCAGCTTATCAAACAGAAGATAAATATATTCAAGATTTTTTTACAAAAAATCTTGAACAGTTAAAATATTATAAATCATTATTTTATTGTATTTCTATTTTTTGTAATATATTTAGTATATGATTGTGTAAGAGAATCAAAAGATGTACAAGAATTTATAGTTAAATTAAAAGAATTAAAAAAAATATATTTTGAGAATTTTTTGTATAAATTAGTAAAATTAATTAATAGTTTATCTAAATATGAAAAAGATGAATAAACTATAAATAACAATTCAATATTCATTTTTTTATATTAAAAATGAAATTAAAAAAGATTTTATTTTTGTTTCTTTTTTTATTTATATTGTTTACTGTTATTGAAGCTAAAAGAAAATCAAGATATTCTGTTTGTAAAAAATCAGATATTAATATGATAGGATATAACAAACTTATACATATTTCACTTAAAAAATATAAAAGAAATAAAAATAAACTAACTAAAAAAATCAGATGTAGTATTTGTAAAAAAATAGGATATAACAAATATACACATTCTAAATATATTAAAAAATACTATAAATAAGTTAGATATTTATTTTTTATTTTATTATTTATGATAACTGAAACAGGAAGTGAAAATTTAAGAGAAAAATATATTATTGTATTAAAAGAAAATTCTGAATATTTACAGAAAAATATCAAAATGTTGAACACTAATAATGCATTAAAGAATAATAAGGATGATTTAATAAAACAAAATAAAGAATTAAAAGAACAAATTGAAACAGAATTAGATAAGTTAAATAAAGAAGTAGAAAAAAATAAAAAGACAAACTATGCTTTAAAAATATTGTTACAAGAATTTCAAAATAAAAATAGTTACTATAAGAATTATAAATTTATCAATAAAATATTTGATAATCATTTAGTTAAATCAATATTCATTATATCATATATATATTTATTTTCTTTTAGAAAAATTAGATTATTTGAGATTTTATTGATCAATATTTTTATGTTTTTATTTTTTTATTTTCTTATAAATATATTTTTTAACAAAGAAATTTTTATTTTTATAAAATAAAAAAATAATTAAATAAAATATAAAAATTATGAACATTTGTTTTTTCTTATCAACAAAAGAAATAGATTCAGTAAATTTATTTCAAAATGTTTCTGCTCAACAGAAACTAGAGTTAGCAGCAGAAACTGCTCGTATTAAACAATTAATAGAAGACCAAGAAAGAAAAATAAAAATTTAGAAAGATAATTATAATCAATTATTAAATGAAATAAAAAATAAACAAAATATCATGTTAAAAGAATCTTTGAATGATATTTTAAATAATAATTTAAAACAATTTTTGATAACTAAAATAATAGAAAAAACAAAAATATAGAAACTTGTATAGGATTTAATGAGTTCAAATCTAAAAAAACATTTTCATATATTAAAAATGAATATATAAAAGTTGTAGTTGTTTATTTTTCTTTTTTTTTATATTATATTGATTTTAAATATTATCAACATATCTTTGATATTTTGTTTATTTTATTTTTTATATTAAACCAAAATAAAATAAATATAGTATGTTATTAATATAATAAAAAATATTTAAATAAGTAATAATCGATTAAAAAAAAATAAAAATAAAAAAAATATAATATCTTATAAAAATTGTCTAGATCCTGAAAGATATCTAACAAAAGAATTATTTTATATACATCTAATTTTATATATACTATTTTTACAAATTTTGTTTATTTACTAGTAGATTTGTTTTTTTGCTGATTTATATAATGACTATATTTTAATGACAAAAACTATTGTAAGTTTTTTTGGATTTAAATTAATTTTTTTTTTAATATTATTAATTTAATCTTTGTTTTAGACTTCTATTTTTTTTTTACAATTTGTTTTGAAAGTAAGTATTTAATTATTAATTTATTATTATTATTTTTATTAATTACTTTTTTTTATTTATAGTTTATTATTACAACAATTTATATATATATAGTAGTTAATTTAATAGCTTTTTGACTTGGTAGTTTGAATTATGTTCAAATGATATATCATATTGTATTTTAGGTTATTTGTAGAGATTTTTTAAAAATAAAATATTTTGAATCATTTTAAATTGAAGCAAATTCAGATTCATATGATAGTAGTTCAAATAAAGAAATTTCTATACGCTTAAATAAACTTAAAAAAGAAATAGCTATATTATCTGATATTAATCAGGAAAAAAATATTGAAAAATCTAAAAAAATATTTAAAATTATCAATAAACAACTTATTCAAAAAGAAAAAAAATTTAATTTTTTACGAGAAGAAAATTATGATTTACAAGGACAAGTAAATTTTTATAAAAATTGTTTGTATAAAGAATTAATAGAAACAATAAGTTCTTTTTTCAATAAATTATTTGAAGATTTATTTGATTATTTTTTAAATATTAGTATTATACAGAATATATTAGATAAAATTAAAAATTTTATTCTCTAACCATTTTTTAATATGATGTTTGAATATAGTATAGATTATATTCACCCCAAAAAATGGGTTTTTGTGAAAAAATTTTTTAGAGAATTATTTTTACTTGTAAGTTTTATTCTGATATTTATTTTTAGATTACTAATTATTAGAACATTTGGTAATCTTTTTATAGTATTTAATATAACATTTATTTTTTTAATATATTATATTAATATAACTTTTGGTTATCAATATTTAGTTTTAATTATAAAAGAATATTAATTTATAATAAATTTTTTTTATTTTTTATAAAAATAGTCTTAAAATTTTTTTGTTAATTATTATTTTTTTTTTATTTGTTTTTCGAACCTCTCTTTTGGTGAATATGATATATATATTCATCAACTTATCATAAAATTATAAACTTATTAGTATAAAATTAATTTTGTTTGGAGTTAAAAAATTCTAATTTTATTTTTTAGTGAATTAAAATTCACTTAGAAAATTTTTTTTTTTTTTTTTTTTTTTTTTTTTATAATGCCAAAGTAGAAACTTTATTAATTGAAATTATAGAATTAAGT